TTGTGTGAGAAAGCAGATGGTCATGAAAACTGAAATGGCAGGCAAATGCAATGTCTTATTCTGCACAAGCCGAGCAACTTCTTTGCATAGACGTGCAACAGTTTAATGGCAGGTGGATTGCAGAATATGTGCATGTAATCAACATGCCAGAGCAAGCTGTTTCCTACAAGAATCACTCATCAACAAGCAAAAGCAGTAAAACCGTCAGATACTGAATAGTAGCAATGGGAAAGTCTCAGGGGACCAGTCAGACTTGATCTTGTGTGGTTCTAGCCTTGCTGGAATTTTTCTTCCCTCTGTGCGGCATCCACTGCAGAAACTCCCTATTTCTTAGTATTTTTTTGTTTTCCCCTGTGTGCTTAGCCCTCAGCTTTCCTGACCAGCTGGCCTCAGCTGAAGTCCACAGAGTGGTGGGCACTCAGGTGGACCCCAGGTGCTGCTGCGGCCCCGTGGTCATACAGGGACATGCACATACTCCCTGGTCATCCCTCGCGTGACTACGGTTCTTCCAGGCTGCAGGATGCCTTGTGTGGCGTTGATGTTTCTTACTGTGTGCATTCTTGAAGGTCTGTTTCACAGATTTTCACTTCAAAAAAATTAATTTTCAGTGGTGGCAGAGGCATTATGGAAATGTGGGTGGACTGATGTATTCTCTGTGTGTTAGATGTTGGGTGAAAAGCAGTGAACGTTGCCTTCTGGGTTACAGTATGTTTCGATGAGATGAATTGCTTGTCATCAGACCATCAGCTCTTTGATATTGGGGGCCTCCTATATCCCAAGACATTTCTAGCTCCCTCCTTACTACATGTGTAAATAAATGAACCTCTCTTCAGGCTGTTTCGGTTATGGAGAGACTGAGCAAGGATTGCCTTCCATCCTCGCAGTTACTGTGTGACCAGCTTCTCTGCATTAGTAAGACTGAGTTTTGCCATGTGGAGCTTTTGGTAATTGAGAATTGAATTTCCCTAATTCTTGAGTTGATCAGAATTTTGGGTTTTGTGTGCTTAAAAAAAAAAGGGTGGCTGCAGAAAACACAAATGAACATATTTCCTGTTGTCTGGAGGTCTTTGAAGCAGGTAGTATACAGATGATTTTTCCAAAATGCTTTATTTGGAAACATGTTATTGGTAATGGACATAGCCCATTATGTTGTGGTTTAAAATAGTGACAGCTGTTTTTTTTGGTTAAGCGCTGAGTCATTCAGATGTATGAGGTAGGGTGGGTACACAGGCATGTGCTTTCAAATTAAATACATCTCTTTTTAAAATGAATAAAACTATATTTGCATTAGGTACTAGTGTTTTTTTGGCTTACCTTATTCTTATGCACTCTGATAAAGTAATTTAAAATCAAGTACTCTGCCCATTACATACCTCTTTACCAAAAGACACTGGAAAGTACTTTACGCATTGGCAATAAAAATGCACTGAGGCATTGGGCTAGCGCATGATAAAAGTAGCTTTATTTTTTGTGCAAGTTCAGTGGAATATTTTCATTTTGGTTAGAATAATCCTAGTAATTCCTTTAGGAAATGACTGAGAGCTGAAGAGTAGTTCTTTGTCATGTTGCACTCTTTTATTTAGATAAAAGATGAAAAGGGATCTATTGTTTTCTGTTTGTGTGGGGCTTTTTTTTTTTGTCTTGACCAGAAACAGTTGAATTCACTAAGTTTCTCCACCAGTGAATTCACTGGTTTGCTTGCATTGTTTCTATTTTAAATTAAACAGAAGTAGTACAGCTAAACCACCAGAATTTCTTGTTTAAATTCCATCTGTCTAAAAGCATTGGATTAAATTTGGAGCCAATTGCTCATAGCATACTTTGACTCTTGAACACTCCAGAAGGCTTGGGCTTTTTCTCCTCTATTATGTCTTGAGGTATGTATGAATATGTATGTGTATTTTTTTTTTAGTTATGAATAATATATTTTTTTTATAATGAACATGACTGAACTGAGCAGTCACTGGTGTCAGTAGATAGTGCATGGCTGCTGTGTGCCTCCCAGGACCTGCAAATTTAGGCTCTTTGCTGTGCAATGTCAGAAAGCTTTCCTGTCTCATCTTAATCCTTATAACTTCTCAGCCTTCTGTCTTGACAGCTCTCAAACCAGTCTGCAGTGTATGGAAATATCTTCTCACCTGTTGTTTCCTTGGAAGAATATGCATTGGAGTCAGGTTACTGTAAAAGCCATTCTGCTATTTTGAGGACTATCAATTCTCTGGGAACTGTGTGCCTTGTATCGCGTCACTGTCTGTTGCCATCTGTTCTTAAAAATGTCAGCAATATCTGTTGTGGACAATCTGTTCCTTCCTTGCCTTTTCCTTTCTTCTTTTATGTCCCATGTGTACCTTCCACTTTTCCCCTGTGATTATATGGAGTTTTGCCATCCAGTGGTGAGGAGCCTGTCATTTTCTGCCCCAACTCTTTCTGAAACATTAATCTGATAAATACAGATGCCTTACTCCAAACTTCAGATTAGGTTCTGAACGTCCTTATTTGTCTTCTAGAAACAGTTGTGTAACTTCCAGTATTCCTCCTGATTACAGGAGTAAAAGCATGAAGCTTAAGTGGCTTGTCACATTTATACCATGAGCTTTGCATATAGTCAGGGTGATATAAAAATGAATCCAAGTAGTGCTTTGAGGGACTTGTAAAACTCAACTTCTGACTGTGGGCAGTTATGTATTGGGTACAACCTCATAGCAGTTCTTAATATTTATACTTCAAGGTAATTTTACTCCAGATTATTTTGTAGATATATTTTGCTTTCCTTCAAAGGTACACTGATGATTACATTAACTTTATATATATTTTTATATATTGTAATTGAACAGTATTGCCATCTGTAAAATAGAACTTCCTACAACATTATCTGTGGCTGCTTTTTGTGTAAACTTAGTAAATCAGATTGCTAATGAAGTTATTAGACTTTAGTAATGTA